TACGGAAGGTCTATTTTTACGACTTTGAGTGAAGATAGCTGAATTAATTTCATCCATATTGGCGTGAACTTGCCGTAAAGTGGATATAGTAACCACTGGCTACACACTTTAAAGAGATTTTTCGGCCATCTTATGTGCACTTTAAGATATGCTTTGAATATGGACACAGGTTGATAACATATGTTACAGAATTTATTGATCACCGATTTATAAAATAAGACTTTGTGAGAATAATATATTGCCTTGAACCACCAATAAAACAATATAACATTACACATGGCATACATTTAATTGGGTAGATTATTTAACTTCTACCAATACCATTAGTTAATGTTTTATATTTTATTTTCAACCACATACCAATGTAGTATAGTGAAATGAAATGAGGTTTAGCGTCCCACTTTTCTGCACCGACAGGGCTAATAAAGGCAGGCATAGCCATACACTGTAAACCAGGTTTCATTTAATCTTGTGTATCTAGCACTAATTTCTTTCACATTCATTTAATATCTAATCTTTGTTTAAAAATTCGTAAAAACTGTTTAAAATCACTATAAATCGTTTAATTTGTACTTCTGTCCAGTTTAAAGCTGACCATTCAATTTTGATAATGAGTGTCCAATTTACAAGTGTTTAATTTTTCAATCACTGTTAAAATATAAAGAACCCAATTGATTAATGATGTATAATAGTTAATTTTTTAACATTGGTCAGGAAATTGGACACTCATTATCAAAATTAATCAGTCAGCTGTAAACTGGACACAAGTACATTAAATGATTTTTGGTGATTTTTAACGATTTTTACGAATTTTTAAACAAAGATTTGATATTAAACGAATGTGAAAGAAATTGGTGCTAGATACACAAGATTAAATGATACCTGGGTTACAGTGGGCCATATGCTGTGCTATGAGGGAAATTTTACCCTGCATCCAACTGTCAATGGTTCTTTACGTGCATGTTAATGTTTACACAACACCTCGTTTTTCCATCCCATCTGTTCCGACGTGGTTTCCCCTTGTCAGTGGTGCAGAACGGAGGGCCTGACAAGAACAGCTGTCTAGTCCTTCGGATGAAACGAAAAACCGAGCTTCCGTGTATACATTGGAATGCACGTAAAAGATCCCTTGGCAGTTGGAATTCGATGTAAGAGTAGGCGATAGTGCCGTGCCCGGGCAAAATTTCCCTCATAGCACACTGTATGGCGTATGCCCGTCTTCATTAGCCCAGTATAGGAGCAGAACAGTAGGACGTTAAACCCCATTTCATTTCATTTCCATCCCATCTGGGTGACTTGATAACTGCCCTTTTCAGGTCCTCTATTCTGCACAGCCGACAAGGTTGCATCACGGCAGAAAATCTCAAGGAACTTTCTCTGCCAGTACCAGGACCGAACCCTAGACCTCCAGGTTAGCGAGCCAGCGTCTTGCTAAGCCACTGATGGATAATAAATACCAAGCTAACTGATTATTTGTGGGGATGATCTTCGATCTGGGTGGGGGGAGTGGGTGGCTGAATGGTTAACAGGTGCGTGTTGCATCATAAGGGCTGTCATTGAGACCAAGCTAACTGATTATTTGTTGGGTTGATCTTCGAACTGAGTGGGGCAGTGGGTGGCTGAATGGTTAACATGTAGGTGTTGCATCATGAGGTCTGTCATTGAGACAAATGGTGTGGGGGGGAGTGGGTGGCTGAATGGTTAACATGTGTGTGTTGCATCATAAGGGCTGTCATTGAGACCAAGCTAACTGATTATTTGTTGGGTTGATCTTCGAACTGAGTGGGGCAGTGGGTGGCTGAATGGTTAACATGTAGGTGTTGCATCATGAGGTCTGTCATTGAGACAAATGGTGTGGTTTTTATTCCCCGCTTGTATGTGACAAGGAGTAGGGTCGCCTGTCCAACCTTGTGGATTTTCTCTGGAGCTTCCAGTTTCCTCCCACTGCTAAAGATCCCTAGGCACAAGCAAATTATTGAAATAAATTTTAACCATATTTTAGTCCCGAAATGACCTAGTTTGCGTCAAGTGGACATTAAACCCCATTGATCTATCTCTTGCTCTCTTCGGTCTGTGTTGATGTTTATACTTTGTACTGCTGAGTCGTGTTTGCAATGTCAAAGACTGTGGATGATATCGAGTTGGTGACTTGCCCTTATTAATGGGCGTGCCTTCACTAAGCTAGAGCTGGCGAATTTAAGCTGACCCATTCAGACACCCAAGATAAGACTGCTTTTAAGAAAAGCCTTCTCGAAGACAGGTACACAGCTGGTGCTTTTAAGAAAAGCCTTCTCGAAGACAGGTACAGAGCTGGGGCACTTAAACTGGTTTATTTGCCCCTGGACCTTTATGTTCAGTCGCACAAGTTAACTACATATATAGTTAAATGATCGCCAGGGATTTTAAATCAGTTTAAGGTTGCAATTTCATATTTTTACGTTATATTTTTAAAATTTATTAAAATAAAGCCTTAAAATAGATGGTATCTATAAACAGTCCTACCTTGTTAAAGAATAATCATATTAATCTTATAATTCACTATTGCCAGTTGAGAAATTGGCAAAAATATCATTTTCCTCTTCAAATTCAAACTTTGAGGATAGCTAATCCATGGTGGAGGTAATTGGGGGGTAATTGTGTTATTACTTCCGGTGTAAATGAGTTTTAAGTGTGAGAATGACACCTATGATCGTATAATAGTGAGTTGACAACCTATTGAGCAAAAGACATAGAAATAATTATGTTTTGACTTTCATAGAAAATATGAAATTGTAACTTTAAATTATTCGATGTGCTTAAGTTTAACGGACTATGATGATGGTTTGTGTTGCATTGCATCCAGTTCCACAATACATGTATCTGTTGGATCCATCTGACAACCAACCATTTTCCTTTTACTAACGAATAATTATTAACAGAGATCATTATTTATTCTTTTAATTTTGTGGAGTAATGATTTATTGATTTTCATCGTTAAAACACAAGACATTTTCTCTTACCAGATGTCTCTGTTTTGACTAACAGTTAATGTGTATATGTAAAACAGCTGAGAGTATACAGCCAAGTCTAGAATTGATTTTCAATCCATTATTCGTTGCTTTGTGTTCATTTTTAGTATTAAATATACATGTGGAATACAGAGAAAATAGAACAAATATAATTGAAGCTTTACAGATCAAATTGGATATCTGAAAGGAATATCAGTTCAGAAGTGGTTCAATTCCGTTCAGGACCCTCTAGAGGCCACATTTTTTATACTCCAACATGGAAATATGGTTGTATATTGCTGTCACCCCATCCGTCTGTCTGTTCACAATTTCTTGTGAACACTCTACAGACTACATTTATCATCTGATTGTTTTGAAATTGATATATGTTGTGTACATTAGTGAATGAAGAATCCTATTTGATTTCAATAATTTCTGTTAATTTCTTCTAGAGTTATGGCCCTTGTTTCACTTTGTTGAACCATGTAAATGACAAAAGTTATCTTTCGATCTGTATGAGATTTCTATGCATCACTTACTACTAGGGTTATGGCCCTTGTTTCACTCTGTTTAACCACTAGGGTTATGGCCCTTGGCCTTGTTTCAGTCTGATTAACCTTGCAAACACTCAAAGACAAAAGTTATTGTCCGATCTGTGTGAAGTGTATATGCATTATTTAAATTATTAAGGCGAAAAAGCCTGTCAAATTTCAACGATTTCTATAAATTACTCCCTTGTTTGATTTTGTAGAACCTTTTGAACCCTCAAAGTATGAAAATCATAATCTGAACTCTATGAAATGTTCTTGTAAATGCACCCCATTACCTACAAAAGAATAAATATGCGACAATCCTTGTTGACTGCTCAAATGATTTAGCTGCTGTGGTCGTATGTTTGTTGCTTGGCAACCTATCTTTGTATGATTTAGCCAAGCTATGATTTAGCCAAGGTCCCTTGTATACATTGGTGTGCACATAAAAGATCCCTTGACAGTTGGAATTCAATATAAGAGTAGGTCATAGTGTCGCTGCCTGGGTAAATTTCCCTCACAGCATACTGTATGGCGTATGCCCGTCTTCATTAGCCCAGTCAGAGCAGAACAGTAGGATGTTAAATCCCATTTTAGTTCATTTCATTTTGCTTGTGAGGGTGAGCCCTATCAATTTCCAACACCTGTCAGTCAACAATATCCTGTTATTGTGTTGAGTTGGACAATTATGATGTGAAGCATTGCGAGCATGAACCCAATCAATTTTCATCATTCTTTCATTGGTCTATCGGCAAGTCAAATTTGATCTGCACCAATGGTACCATGACAGGATGAACCCTATTGATTTTCACTGATCTACACTTGGAATGTATGTGTATCTTGCATGGCAACTGCTTGATAAAATTACGACTAACAAAGTTTTCTTTGCATTCTCTGTCAATTTGAAATCTCGATCTAAGAGATAACTTTACCCTGGTAAAACTTGCTGGCCATTACATGTAATCAGCGTGAAATCGGTTCCTAAGGCCCCCCCCCCCCCATATAAAATCGGTTCCTAAGGGTCCCCCCAAGTGGCTATTGATTGACAGGATTTGTTAGAATTTAATACTAACGTTTTCTTGACAGTTAGGCATCGATTCGTTGCATGAGTTACATATTAATGATCCTTGGAACATTTTCCAGATCTTGACATCAAATGTTTATTCGAAAACAGCCAATTTGATGATTTACCGGGAACTATTTTTAGCACACAGTCAATGTGATTGATTTGGCTGAATATGTGAAATTTCTGAAGAAACGTGAGTTTGTAGCTGCCATCTTGGATCTTTGTACATCAACAGACAAGAGGGTACATCATGTGACATTCAAAATGGCTGACTTGTGGCCAGCGAGTTTTTCCCAGAGATAAGTTTACCCTTTGAGATTGGTCAACAAGGAACCAGGATTTCAATTTGTCACATTTAAATGACAATACTTATTTTATAATAAAATGTTTAATTTTGACCTTTGGTATATTTTTAAGGTACATGGTATCATTAGAAGAGCTAGTACATTTAATACACATCGAATAGAGCATCTGTATGCAGATCCTAAATCACATACAGAAGGAGGTAAGTAATCATTGTAATTAACTAATATAATTCTGAGTGCACAACGATTTCATGGTTTAATATAGCATTAATAAACATGAACATGCGCTTGATGCCATGCTTAGGTTATCATTAACATGGAAACTGCAAAACCACATCCTCGGTATCCCCAGTGTACTCATTCTGGGTTAATCCATAGGGTTTCCACGATTTCAAATTATCTACCCTGGCCTTGATTGTAGCTATGGTCTACGAACCAATCAAAAAAACAGTTTACAAATCTATCGTTTCGCCTTCGTTTTTATGAGGTTAGATAACCATATTCATGTCCATTTACTGAATGATTTATGTAAATAAGCAGTGGAAAAGGATGACAACATATTTACATATTTATGTATTTACATATTTATGTAAATAATGTATATATTTCCAATTCATTTATATTTAATTGAATTATCTAAATCTGTAGTATGTTTCGCGGATTTCAAATATGTATAACATATATATGTTTGACTTTTGTTATTATTATTACTATTCGTTCTTTGTCTAAAATGTTTCATTCTGTTATGTTTATTATTATTGAACTTATACTTGGCAATTTGATTCAAAATAACTTGTCTACGTTATCACATGGACGTAAAACTCCGCGAACGAACAAACGATCAATTCACAATAAAACTCTTGAACCTACATAAACAACCGATCTTCATTAATATAATTTATTATTAAATACGCAATTAGAATAATTTGAACTTCTCTCATTTCGGCTAACTCCTAACTTGTCCGTTGAGAGCTACTCCCCTTTGCCAACTTCCTTTTTAATTACCGATGTATGGGATTGGTCGATAAAAATAGCACAATCATCAAGGGCAGATAATTTGAAAACGTGTCTCCCCCATAGATTAACCCAGGGGTTAGTGGAGTAGAACGGAATGAAACCACTGGGGATACCATGTTTTAAATATCAGGGGCTATTTCTGTAGTGCCTAACATTTTGTCATGTACAGATAATATTATTTTCAGGCTGGTGTATGTTATACATTGTGTTTCTTTGGAATGTAAGAAGGTTAATTAGGGCTTGAAAGACAGTGGAAAAAGAGAGTTAAAACTACATGCAGTGAATCTGGGCCATGTTTCTCGAAATCTTAACTAAAGATAAAATCCAAATTTTAGTAGATACTTCAGTTTTGATTGGATAATCACTAAAATAAATCTAATATTATCCAATCAAATTACTAAAATTTGGATTTTATCTTAGTTAGAATTTCGTGAAACGGGCCCCTGTGATCTGTACTGTCTTAAAATTAAATGATATGTTTGTTTTACTCAAGAAACGTCCATGTTACAGCCTATCAATGAGAGAGATGGGGTTTAACGTCCACTCAACACAAACTTGGTCATTTCGGGACTAATGTATTTGATTTTATTTCAATACAGTAGTTCGCTTGTACGTAGGGGTCTTTAGCAGTGGGAAGAAACCAAAGGACCCAGAGAAAACCTGCGAGGTTGGACAGGCCACCCTACTCCTTGTCACATAAGCGGGGGATTCGAGACCAATCTATTAAACCATTCTTCCACGCAACCCCCAAGACTATCAGTGATTGAGTCCATGGCCTTATTCATGAAACTTAAAACTTAAGATGTTTCAACATTTTCATTGGTTGAGAATTAACTTCCCAGTACAAACTTTAGCTTTCAGCCAATGAAAAGGCAGCATTCTGAAAATATTTTAGTTTAATATTTCGTGAATACAATTCTCGATTAAGGTTTCTGTTTCAAATTTTTGCCCCCGGTTGACAATTTCCATGATTTTAGGTAATCAAAACTGATTTTTTGGGAGTATCAAAAATAATTTTGGAATCAGGAGTTTATTTTGGTAAAGGAAAGGATCTGGTGATGTTCTCTCGTCAGCATGATGTTATCTTGTTAATCATGATGTTATCTTGTTAATCATGCATGTATATTTTTCGTCCCTCCCATTTTGAAGAAAGCAAGGAACTATTATAATGGGTGTGTCCGTATGTCTGTCCGTCCATCATACCTATTGGAACACAATAATTAGGCTTCTAGTTGAGCTAGAATGTTCAAACTTGGAAGTAGAAAAAGATGAATTTGCTGAATGTTCAAGTAATTAAAAAGTGTCACACCTGTGGGGTTTTTTAAAATTGAGGTAGGGGACATCAGCCTTAATGTTGACTTGTTATGATTGCTATATCTTTAAGTTTGAATCAGCATGTGCATTATAGATCAGTCTAATTAAAATTATCGTATATTACAGGCTATAAGTCATTGGGGTGTATTGGTTTTATATTATAAGGTATACGTCGTCGTCGATGTGGAGTATAAGTTGAATAGATGTATTTTATGATAAGATGAGCTGTGTAGAAGACAAATAATTTTCTACTCCATACAATCTTGTAAAGAAATGAAATGGAGTTTAGTGCTCTATTATGCCACTCCAACTGGGCTAATGAAGACGGGCATACACCATACAGTGTGCTATGAGTGAAATTTTGTCCGGGCAGTGGCACTATCGCCAACTCTTATATCGAATTCCAGCTGCCAAGGGATCTTTTATGTGCATTCCAATGTATACACGGAACTGCCTGTTCTTATATCAAATTCCAACTGCCAAGGGATCTTTTACGAGTTCTCCAGTCCAATGTGTACACTATACATTGTCCCTTGCAAGGCCCACTGTCCTGTACCACTGACAAGGTGTAACCACGTCAGAAAATCCTAATGAACTTTTTCGGCCTAAGCAGGGATTGAACACAGGAACTCAAGGTTAGCGGGCCACTGTGGCTCCCCCATCCTATCTTGTATCAAGTGACAAGACTGTTATCGTAATCTGTTGCTGTATCAATGTACATCATAAAAATTAACCCATATTCAAGTTTTATTTTCATAATGTCATGTGAAATGAACGGCCTATTCTTATGGATTCTTTTACGTGCATGCTAACCAGGCGTGGAAATAACAGTTTTAGATGTACCTGACAAAATGTCAGGCACTAATGAAATAGTACCTGACATTTTCAACTAAGTGTCGGACATGTATTGATAATAGCAATAAAAAAGACAAATCAATGGCGGACAAAATGACTGGCACCAGAGGTTTTGTGCCTGACAAAGCCTGAATCTGTGCCTGACATTGTCTGTGACAGGTGCATTATTTCCAGGCTTGATGCCAACATGTCTGAATGACTAGACACAGTTCTTGCCCCCCTCCCCCCACTCCCTCATCCTACACTACTGATAAGTGGAAAACATGCTGTAATATCCTGAATAGACGGAACAATAATAACATCTGATTTTGATTAGATTGATCTATATGTGTGTCTGTGATGCTTATGTATCTGTGATCTGTATGTGTCTATGTGCCTCAATCTGATTAAAACACAGATACTATTTCGTTTCGTTTATTATAGTTCAAAATTTGTTATATAACCAGCGTTCTGGATGATGTGAGGGATTAGCCAATGAAACAATCTGTTACAGCGAGTTTTTGGTTAATCAAGTGTCTGACATCATAGGGTCAAAAGCCGCTCATATGACCTCTGACTCGACCTCCCACTATATCTGGTCTGATCTTAATGTAGTAGAGGCAATTGAAAGTATAAAAAAACGAAACGAAATATAGATCTGTATTTTAATCAGATTGTATGTTATGGTCTGGTATCTTTAAATGTATTTATTTGTTTTTAAGCTTCAGACGACAAGAGGGGAGGTAAGACAAGAGGAAACTTTAAATTTTCCATTAAAATTCAATATGCAGAGTGTCTATATGTGATTACATTGTAAAAACAATTGATGGAGTATACACTATACGGGTCTCATGACAAATTTCACTCAGCTGTTAGATTCACTGTCTTCACTAATTAGGTGTATTTTATTGATTTATTTCATTTGGATTAAAAGAAATTTTATTTAAGTAGCAAATAAATTATAAATAAGTTGGAAATAGATTTAAAACAAAGCATTGGATGAAATACACTCTAAAGGGGATGATGACATACATGGAACTGGAGAAATAGGTTCGATGTGACATTGATATCGATCTTGTAATATGGCATTAAATTTCACTCTAAAGAGGTCAAACACTTAATTGTTGAATTAATTCGCCTATTATCAAGGACAATCAAGTAATAATTATTTATTATCCTCAGTAAAGTAAATATATTTTGGAATTTTGAATACGTGCATGATTCACTATATGTTGATGTCTCATTGGTCATATTCCAGGTCGGAGTCGCTTGCAATCTTGCATAGGACATGTCGAGCATATATGGGCGAAACAGCATCCATGCATTAAAATATCAGAGCAAGAGACTAAAGTATTTAGTATTTGTGTAGTTCGCTTTTAAAACTAAATTATTTCCAGCTCTAGCATGTTGAGCTCCTGGTAGTTCTAAAGTACACTCCATCAAACTGATTTACTACTTTTCATTTTAGACTCTATGCAGCATTAAACTAGGGCTAGAGTTATTTACTTAGCACTGACTTGAAGCTTTTAAACTTGACACAATTATATGGGATACATGTTTATTTCTGTCGACAGGTATTGATGAGGGAGCTCTTTGTCAATACATCATCAGAAATAATCATCTAAATAAATTGTATTTCATATATTTGTTTCGGGTTTATTCTGAGTTATTTCTCGAATGTTATTTGTTATTCAAAGTTATTTGTTTATATATAGCACTACATGTATATTCTGGGAGCACTTTCTCGGTCTTATACTCTTAACCAGGGCTTCCACTTCAAAATTTTCACTCCCGGTCGTTTTTTGATAACGCACGAAAACTTTGCCAATTAAATTCATATTTCACGTTTTTATTCATGGTAGGGTATTGTGAATTCACGTGTCTATACCACTTTGTCAGCATGGGTACACAATAAGTATATATTGGACTTAAAAATGATATATTAGTAAGGCTTATGATAATTATTTATTAAATATTCCCTTTTGGCTACTTAAATAATCGAAATAGCTGAATTGGCCATAGAAAAATCATTCCAGTAGCTCACACGTAATTACCACATGCTCTATAGAAAACACACTGCCCTGGATAATTTTAAGTTGTTATACAATAAACTTCGAAATTTCTCACATTTATTGGTTTTAGACCATCTCTTACAGCATTACGAACTGCAAAATTGTGAGGTAAATCCTAATAATGAATAACTAAATAACTAACGGATAACTAACTTACAGCTATCGACACTAGCGCCCCCTAAAATATCGTTGTATATAATAAGAGTAACCATATATACACAACATCTTTGCAACGCGTGGAATTATCAATGTTGCTGCACAATAGCACCGGAATATGTAATATTCTTAATTTTTCGGTAAGCAAGTTAACTAATCTTTAGATTTTATTTCTTCAATTCCCACAAGGTCGTAATACCGCTATAAAAAAATTATAATGCATTTTTCTCCCAACATTTACATTTTTGAGGATCTATGTAATTTCTATGCTGTTTTTATTTAATATCACATTTGGTTGGGTTCGAAGAGCAGTACTTCATATCAATTGCCCTTTTTTCGACGATCATAATAATCTCGTTTACATCGTGCGTGACCGTAATAGCATTAAACAGCTTTGTTGTAGAAAATTCTTATGACACATGGACAATACCAAAAATTTGCACATAGTTTCTTTTTGATGTATTTGATACATTAAAACAACAAAAGTTTTATAAAGGGCTATATTTTAGTTAAAATAAGGTGAACAATTTTGAGTTAATGCTTTGTGAACTCGGCGTCCAGATACTTAAAATCGATCCTGAGTCGTTTCAGATTTGTTATATAATATTAAAACAGTTTCCATAAAATTCAACTAGTGTCAATTTTTCTTTTATGTGCACTCTGTTGTACATGGGTGGACCCCAGATGTCATGGTACTACTCAACCCATGGCCAGAGTTGAACCCAGGATTTTCTAGTCAGGAGTCAAATACCCTAATTTTCATTTAGGAATAATACAATTGTAGAGGGATAATTTAATCATAATTTAATTTAATCATACAGCAGTAACAGAAGTAGATAAACAATTGAACAAGATTTAACCTTGTTGCCTTCCTGTGGTATTCAGTAATAATGCATGTAAAATTAGGGAAAAAGTACCAAGCTTTAATGTAGTTGTCTCCCTTTACTCAGACCAGAAAATTGATCCATGCTGAAGAATGGTTAATTTGAAATGATAAATGTCTTAAAGATTCATTTTTACGAAAGTATTTATCGGGTTGTTATTTCCAATAAAAGTATGGCAAATTTGGTATATATGGAAAGTAGAGACACACAGTCTCACTAGAAAAATATTGGATTACCTGAAAAACACTCATGGGGCAAGCACTGGGTAAAAATGTCAGCATATCACTAACTGGCAACCTGACAGCTTATTGTCTGACAGCTTGACTTAGGGAGCGGTTGTTATTTGTTGATCGAATAGATAGGCGGTTTTGGGAACATTGAGGAGTGTAACCATACAACAGACTCTTCAGTTAAATGGCGGAAAAAGAAGTTAACCGAAAATAATTCATGAATTTATTTAGTCCTCAATATGTATGGTAAATGGACCGTAAGTAATGACAAATACATTCTGAAAATTCAACACTAACTCTTTGCATAATCTCGAAACACTTTGAAAGTGATATTTTAAAGTAGACCTGTATCACTATTATTCTGTTATCACTCCATTTGATGTTCTTCTTCACTCATTGAATTTACAAGGTGATGTGGATGGAGTTGCTTCCCTTGTATTAGATATCGGTCCTTGATTTCCACTTTACACCAAGGCTAATATATACTTATATCAATATTATTCAGTTATCACTTTGTTTGATGTTCTTCACAAATTTAACTTTAATGTTAGAGGTGATGTGGATGTAATATTGAATTGCTTCCCTTGATATAGAAAATCAACCCTCTGTTTCCAATGTATACATTGTACCATTGTAAATATCTATGCAATTATAATGCATGTATCCTACTTTATAGTTTATCCCACCTGCCTGGTATCATATAACCTTGCATGTTAGTCTCTACATTTCTTCTTTGAGAGAGAGAGAGAGAAATGGGGTTAAACGTCCACTCGACACAAACTTGGTCATTTCGGGATTAACACGTGGTTCAATTTTATTTCAGTAATTCGCTTGCGCATTGGGGTCTTTAGCAGTAGGAGGACCCGGAGAAAACCCACGAGAATCGAAACCATGCCAGTTGACTCAATGACAAACTTTATGATACAGCGTGCACATACTAACCATTCAGCCATCCAATCCAACTTCCCTTCTTGTTTGATTAAAACTTAAGTATATATTATGAGCTATTAATTTGTATATATACATGTCGTTCATCGTTTTTTTTATACGTTAATTTGTAACAGTAAAATCTAGAATTACATAGTGACTAAAAAATTTAAATTTTGTTCCGAGAAAACTGAATAATTTGATAAATATTTCCATATTTTTCTTATAATTAGGCAAGAATTTTTTTCTTAATATTAAATAATGTTGACTACTTTCTAGGCATTTTTGATTATTGAATGGACTCTATTAATTCATTTATTTTACTTTGGCCACATTTGCCGTGCCCTTACCAAAATAAACCATTTAATCCACTGCATGCTTGGCCAGCAAAGTATAAGATGGTAGCCTCCAGCTATTTCAGCCAATATCTCAATTTGAACAGGTTCGACAAGCCTGTCATCAGATTGGATAGGATTGTAATTGCACATCTGTGCGGTGTCTTTGTGTGTTTGGCTAAAGTAAATATTTTGAGAATCTTTATGCAATAAGTTTGCTTAATGACTGATTAATCTCATTATCTGTAAATGTGTTTGCAACTTGATTCATACACATTTAGTTGCTACCCATTGACAAATATCAGACCAGTTTGGTCCAATAGAATTAAGATTTAATTTGTTGAAGAATATTTGCGTTTGTTAAAAATGTGACCAGATTGGAGCCTATGGGCTCTTTCTGAAGTCTTTTTAGTTAAAAATCTCAAACAGTAGAGTGTGCTTTAATTCTGTATAATTGTGCTATCAAAAACCGCAGTAGTAATTAAAATTTTAATCTCTTAAATAATAAGTTATAAAAACTATAAATTTGATAAGATAAAAAAAAATCTTAGTTTTTACACCCAGTAGAATATCGGTGAGAACTAAAGTGAGCTCGTCGAATTTAATTCTTGCTATATTTTCTCGTAATATAATTGCTTCAGCCTTTTAAATTCGTCCATTGTGCTCGGAAATTTAGCTTAAAGCTTTCTCTTGTTGTGAAAAATGAAATCTAAGAAGCAGATTGTTCGTGCTTGCTGGTTTGTGAACGCAAGTGTTTGAAGCCAACAATAAAGCAATCATAAGCTACCGTAAAGGCCTCAGGCCCCAGAGAACAGATATCATTGATTCAACTGATACGTTATTTAAAAACATTATCTTCCTTCCTACATATCATACCAGTCAATTTAATCTTAAAGTGATACTCTTTAATAAGAGGGGATATTAAATATAGATATCCTTACTTTCATGTTGTTTAATGTGATGTCAACCTTTTCGTAAAATTGTTTGCTTCACTTACTTAACCTACCACAAATATTTCCTATCTGGAAAAATATTATTCATTTTTTGGCTTGATGCAATGTTGTTAAATTTGTTAACAAAATTATTTGCTTCAGTTATTTAAAAATATTTCCTATATGGAAAAATATTAAACTCTGTGGCTTGATACATGTATTTTACCACACATTTTTTTATATTATGGAAAAATATTACACAATTTTGGCTTGATACAATGTTGTTAAATCTGCTTCAGTTCATTATACCAGATGGTCACATCAGAAACTGATTTTACTAGTCAAATGTTCTAATTCGTATTTTCGAATGCTATTTGAATATATTATTCGATTGAAACAATAAATTTTTTGAATAGGTTTAGTGAATTTATAGATTTCTACAAACTATATAAATTTTGTTATCAATTTGCTGTCCATTATCTGTTTATTTCTTTAACATTAGTGGATTTCTTTGGAAATTAGAAAAATATGTCCATGGATACAAAAAAACACCAGATCAAATTTCTTTCTTTTTTTTTGATTGATTGATGAGTACTAAATAGCTGTGAAAAAGAAATTCAAATATTTGAATATTTATGTGAGCACCATTTCTAATATGGATTATATTTTTATTTTTGTAAATGATTTGATGTTAATTAAAGAAGGGGCACAATGACATGGGTGGCTCTTGAACCGTCTCGCTTGAGAAATTATAAATTTTCTCTTGTTACAAAGTTTTCTGAATTTCGCATTTGCTGGAAAATATGAATTAAAATTATAGATATAATATCAAAAGAAGTGCAAATAAGTGTCGTGTGGGAATCACCACTGAAAAAATTTGAAGTCGGCAATGCCTCAATAGCAAAGAAGTAAAAAGGATATATATATATATATATATATATATATATATATATATATATATATAAATGTTTTATTTCTAAATGTACTGTAGCATTTGAAATTTTTCTTTTAACCCTTTTCTCAACAAATAAACTATTAAGATTTTAGTATTATAGATAACCATTTAAATCTTTTTTTTTTAACCTGTCTTCACTTTCTTCTAGTCATCATATGTACACATAAATTATAAGATTTTGATATTAATTCGGTTGGTGATGGGTATTTATCTTTAAGAATTGTTTTGATTTGTTTGGTGATAAATGATTTTATATGAATTATTTTAATTTTGTCATTGTAATTCTTACTGTATGTTTGTTTCGTAATGCTAATGCTGCCATTGTTATGTTGTTGTTGGAATGTTAATTTTGCTGGTGCCTTAGATTATAAAAATTGAACAAACATTACTTTTAGTTATTTCTATAAATTAAAATGGACTGTTGGTGTGAATTTTATTATGTAGGCTGTTAATCTTTTTCAGTAAAGAAGAACTACCTCCTTTTTTTTTCTGTTTTTCCAGTAGACTAAAGTTTTATTTTTTACAATTTTTCAGCAATGCATCTCCACTATGGTGACATGACAGACAGTACAAGATTAGTTAAAATTATTAGTGACATAAAACCAACGGAAATATATAATTTAGCTGCTCAAAGTCATGTTAAGGTGAGATTGGTGTTTGTACTTTGAAGTCCTGATTGTTATTTTTAAATTTAATGGATTTGAATCACTTGCAAACTACGTTATTGTGAAAGTTGAATCCCTGAATTAAAATCAGTCCATAAATAATCATCATTTGCCTTTTTGGACAAGGTCTAATCTTTAATTTCTTAATCCATGCAAAGATGTACTTAGATTGATTATTTAACATTTAATTAAGAAAACAAATCTGTATCATCAATGGTAGGTAATCTTCCGGCTTGGCTTCAGTTGGATTAAAAAGAGGTCCATGGAAAGTTTTACCCAACAGTTATATGTGTGACTGGCTTATTTATATGTCAAATATTACAGAATTTTTAGTTCATCATATCTGTGTAATACTGAACGGAATCAAACCATTTTTGGACTAATACAGGGATCTTAATCGGCTGGTTTTTGTCGGCTTTAGCCGTTTGAAGTTCAATCAAACTGATTGGTAAAACAATGAACCTGCCAATCTACTTTCAGCTAAATTACAACAGGCTAATTATTACTGGTTAATTAAGAAGCTTAAAATTTTAAAACCCAGTTCCTACCGGGACCCAATTCTGACTGATTCATTTCAACATGCATTAAGAACCCTGGACTAATATATCCATATTCAACAATGTATTGTGTTTGCGAGGGATTCAGGATCATTAGAATGATGATCAGAGGGGTTAAAGTAAATATTACAATCAGAGTCTATTTATTTCTTAAATGTATTAATAAAATTGTCATTTTATAGTTTGAAAGAAATGTTCATTTAGTTATTGAAACAAGGGTCTCGGATGAATTCCTTCATACACTGTCACGTTTTAACAGTAAAATAGAATGTTTTGACTATCTGCATTGGCTATGCTCAGTTCATTTGGCTGGAAGCATCCTATAACAATTAATTTCAGTTAAACAAAATATCAGCACGATTTAATTGACACGAGAAATTTGATCTCTTGCCTTTAGCCAAGCTATCTCTATTCTGTTAGCCGTGTTGTGACAAATACAATAAAATCGCTTCTGTCCTCGACACAAATCGCCACAAAGATTTGTTATTTTCTGTCAGGATTGTGCTTGTTCATGGTCTTGTTACAATCTCCCCGAAAGCTTAACAAAATAAAGTAACCAATGAGGCAGACACAGATTCTGATTAGATCTAGTATTGACAGGTCGAGACAAGAAATTTGTCATGATTTGGTGAAATAAGCAATTTCTTGAATTTCGCTCTAGCTATCAGCAAGATGGTTTTGTTATTCTTTGGCTTTGGTCAGTGAATGAGAAATAACCACACATCCAGCATAATTTATTGCCCAACGCTGACAGATTTGTTCGCTTCTGAAATATGGAAAACTGCAAGGAGTAAGAAGAAAAAGACAAAACAGTTATTTTTTAACCATTTGCTGATGGCCTGTTACAGCAAAAATTGTACAACAGTCAATAAATATGTCAACGCTGATACCCTGAATTATCGGTTTCCATAACAATTAAGATCATCTTCTGTCTAAGTATTTGTTGTTCATCTGGCTTGAACAAACAAACAAACCATGCTCAAACACTAGTGTAAATTTTATCAAGAGCTTCAATGACATTTCAATGGCTTTTTTCTATTTTCTTTAGATCTTGTCTTCCTGTTTTGACTTACAAAAGCATACATGATGTTCTTTTGTAATATTTCTCCAGAAATGTTTTTTTTTTCTCTGTCTTTCTGATCTATGGAATATTTGTAGCACTTTGGACCCATTTATAAAACAAGCATATGTTACATATGTAGCATTCTTTGTATAAAGGTATTGATATATATTACAGTATCTTTCAAATTTATCTTGAATAGAATTTGAATTTTATGAAATGACTGCTGCGACTGATGTCATGTTTATGTATGCTGATATCTTGGCAGCCATCTTTACCCTAGCTGTCAGGCGACCTGTTTATCTTGCCTTGATGTAGTTTGTTCTTCCCTCTTCCACAAACAACCATGTTTTCTAATAAAATATCATTCTATGTTTTTCTTGTCAAACTCTGTTAGTTTTAGTTTGCTATATAATATCTGCTGTTCCTATTCATTTTACAGAACATAGTGTGCATTTGTGTAGAATGGACTAACAATTCACATTTCCTGCCCATCTTGGATTAGGTTGAAAATTGCTTTCGTGGATGCAGCTACCCATGTCTTGGTGGATGCAGCCGCCTTTGCCTTCAAAGATCTCACAAATCCAGTGGTATTTTGAAGTTTTACAAAGCAATTACACTGGGCAGAAAATTTTATTTTTAATGATTGATTTGTCTTCAGGTTTCATTTGAACTTGCTGAATACACTGCTGATGTAGATGCTCTTGGTGTATTGCGTCTGCTTGACGCTATACGAACATGCGGCCTTACAAAACAGGTTAAGTTTTACCAGGCTTCCACATCCGAATTATACGGAAAAGTACAAGAAATACCTCAACGAGAAACCACACCTTTCTACCCCAGGTCTCCGTATGGTAAGTTCAGATTTGTTTTATATCTGTTTAAGAATTTCATATTTCACCTAATTAAGATTATGTAAGATTTAGATAAAGAGCTGACCATTCTTGCTATAATAGGTCAAACACAGATAATTTAAAATGAAAATATTCAAAATTACATTCAAATTACTTCATTCTAAGCCAAGTTATCACTGTTTGTAATTTTGACAAGATGTGTGCATTGTGGTAATATAACCAGGGCACTGGTATATTTGAAACTTAGCCTCGCATTCCCATTTTTAAATTAAATTTTAAAATGGCAAACCGTTCTAATCTAGTTAAAATCTTGAGTATCCGATGCCATCAAGAGTTGAATATGGTCTTGTTTTGTTCATAAATGTGTAATTTAAATAGTTCACATAACATTTCAGGCCTAAAGTAAAACCTGCAATAGGCAGATTTAGCTCTTGCATAATGTATGTTTAAGTAAAGTTGAATTTTAAAGAACGGTATTCGATTTAATCGGATGTGTTATTTCTATTAGTGATTTGATAAGATCACTACAGTCAAACTTCAAAAGTTAGTTTGAAAATGAAATCAGTTACATGTATGTAAATGTAGTCAGGTGGCCACTGTGCATAGAAATGAACACATCAACTCTTAAATCATCAATTTTGGGCGCAAATCGAAGAGGAATATCTCTTTGTTGTAAATTCAAGAAAAAAAATATGTCTTTAGTAAAATATGTCTCTGTATCAAGTTTAAAACTGTTTCTTTTTTCTATATGGTTATTCTGAACTAAATCAAAAATATGTCTTTTTCTGAGAAAAAAAAAATAAATCGTCTATCATTGAGTCAAGTGATGTGGTTTCAATCCTGAGTAGTGTGGCCTACCCAACTGCTTGGGTTTTCTTCGGGTCCTCCTGTTTCCTCCCCACTGCTAAAGACCCCTATGCGCAATTGAATTATTAAGATAAAATGGTACCATATTATGTTAGTGCCAAAATGACTTAATTTGTGATATTAAACCCCCATTTATCTCTCTTTGTAATCTTGAATGATGTTTTGATTATTTTAAGGTGCTGCGAAACTATATGCGTATTGGATCGTAATTAATTATAGAGAGGCTTATGGTATGTTTGCCTGTAATGGTATCCTATTTAACCATGAAAGTCCACGAAGAGGTAAGTCATGTAAACAAATACACAAAGTTGATATTAAAGTTGAATTCCCATAAAGTCATGTAAACAAATACACAAAATTGATATTAAAGTTGCATTCCATCGAAGTCATGTAAACAAATATATGAAATTAATGTTAAAGTTGAATTCCAGTATAGTCATGTAAACAAATATATAAAATTAATATTAAAGTTGCATTCCCACAAAGTCATGTAAACAAATACACAAAGTAATATTAAAGTTGAATTCCCACAAAGTCATGTAAACAATTACACAAAACTAATATTCACACAAAAAGTGAATAAAATTTCTGCAGAATTAGAAAATCAATTATTTTTATTTTAAATGTTGGTGATTGTTATTTTGGGGGATTTCAAAATGGGTATGTATATACAAGCCTGGTCATAAGTTACCTGTCACAGACATTGTTAGACACAAATTATTACATAATAACCTAATAATCAAAAATTGTATATTGTCAAGCCACTCATCATAGTCTATTGAGGGATTTTGAATACCTTTCTGGCTACAATATTGTAAAAGGTGTCATTTTAAAGGGGATATCTGTCCAAAATAGTGCATTTCCATTCTGTATAAATTTTACAAAGATATGAAAAATTGAAAATTTCATAACATTTTGCATACTCTGCAGAAAATATAAACAAGCCAGTGCCACCTACATGTGATGGATAAATCTTTCACATGATTCAAGTTGCTTTTTATTTATCACGTCCTTAAAGAATTGAAAATTAGCTTGTTTTGGCCTCATAAGGAAAGTTTGATTTTATCAGGTGTAAGAGAAAGTATATGATATAACACATATCAAACAAAATCAAGATGAAAATACAACAATGTTTTTTTTTTCTTTATCACACTTGCTCCACAAAACTGTCAGTCAATCTGATAGAATATAATCTGGTGTTTCATTCTATGTGACAGGGAAGACATTTTAAGTTGTTTACATAAATTACTCCGATGGCCCAGGAACAAAGGTGATTCTCCATTATTGACAATTAGCCGGCATCAGACAGCCATCAGATTGAGTTGGTGGGGTGTTTATTTTAGGGGGTGAAGTGTCTATATCACCTCTCAACTAATTGTTATAAGTCAAGTTATTACGGTAGTTAAGATGTTTAAGATGTTGATTTACTTCATCTTGATTGACATGCTAGTCTCCCACTGAACAAGTTGACGGTCTCAAAGATGGTGGGACACGTTGCGTTTTATAATATCTGTAATAGTATTCATATTCTCACACTGTGTAGAATTGATTTAACCTAGAGCCGATGATTGTAATTTAAGGGATTTTGAAATGTAAAAGTTGAATCTCTGAATGGAATATCAGTCCAAAAATAGTTCAATTCCTTTTAGTATTCATAAAGATATGATAAACTGAAAATTTTGAAAGATTCAGCATTCTACATGTGCACTTTATCACTCAATAATACATTCTACAGTAGATATCGCTTGTGTGATATATTTCATAATCTACTGCGATATCTCCTAGGAGATATCGCTTTACATGAATTTGATTGGTCAGTTGAAAAGAATTACTTTTTTTTTATTTTCAAAGAACAGTTCATTTCTTATTAAAAGTAACTTTTTTTTTTATTAAAAATGAACTATTGTTAATCAATTGACCTTGATGGAAACATTGGGTCGATAAAAAGGACTTTGCAATGGTAGAATTGCTGTCAAAAAATGATGTATCACTACGCCGTAATGTTCAGTAAAAGTGAAATCTACAGCAAAGAATTATATTTATCTATTTGTGCATGTAAGAAGGGATTGGGTGATAAATAAAATCTCCTACTCGTCTTTTTTGATATCAAAAAATATCAACACTCGTTGATATTTTTTTGATATCAAAAAAGACTGGTAGGAGATTCTCTATATGTCACACACCTGTCATCTTTGCAAGAGATGTCTTTTTTCCAACTATTGTGGATGACAAGATTGGATTTTTAGGTCCTCCCCCTCTCCCCCCACTGTCTTGTTCTTAAACAGGCATTATGTAAGAGCTAAATCTGCCTATTGTAAGTCTTTTCTTTAGGCTTGTAATTTTATATAAATTATTAATTTATAAACATGACAAGACCATAATCAACTCTTGATGCTATCGGATTGCTCCAATTTTAAGTAGATTAGAACGGTTCAGCCATTTAATTAGTGTTGAAACTACTATTCGGATATCCGTTAACGGATACAAAATAAGGGTTATCCGAATCATTTTACTATCCGTTACAGTCTTCTGACATTCCGTATGCTCTATATTTAGCAATTTTTACATCTTATTACTTTGAAATTTTCCCCAATGCTATTGATCACTACGCAGCTTTGAGCATAAATGTTAATATCACGCGTATTATTTAGCGATAGTAACTAATAAAAATATTAATGCAGTGCAACGAAAACAGTAGTCTAAATAAAAAAATATTCATTCATTCCTCGCGCTGGTTTACGCTAGATAGTAGCTACTTCTTGGGTTTACGGGATACAAGTTAACACTGTGTTTAGACTTCCCGCAATGAAATTTATTCATAACGACCTAGGTCACGTATATTCTCACTTACTGATTGGTTCAATAGCAGTAGATTATCAGAATGAGGCAAACGACCTTGGCGGAATAAATGTTAGATGTTTTTATTTTACTTTTTTCATTCGTGTTGATTGAGCAAAAATGATAAGTGGGAGGGCCGCGGATTACAGGAGTAGTTATACACAAATTTATTCACCTCATTGATTATTTTGGTTATCATAGATAGTCTTAATAATTGCGACTAAAGGTAGCCACGTTTTTTTTCTTCACAGCTCAAACAATTTGCAAATCGAAAGTAAGATTTCATACTCGGCATACACAGACACTCATAAACCTTGAAATAAGTAAGAAATTATGAGTATATGAACTTTTGATGTGATTTTGTTCAAGAATGTCACGTTTCCGAATTACCCGAATAGTATTCGGATAGCAAACAAAAGTATTTGGATCACAAATCTCGTTCCGATTTTCAATTCTACATTTAATGATTTAATTTAAAAATGGGGAAGCGAGGCTATGACTCGAATGACCAGTACAGTGGTTAAGATCAATGCACACATCTTGTCAAGACTACAACCATTGATAACTTTACTCAAAATAAAGTAATTTGAATGAAGTTTTCAATATATTCATTTTGCATTATCTATTTTTGAAATATTACAGCGAGAACGGCAAGCTCTTTATCTAAATCGTCTGTAATGCCCTTTTGAGATAAATTGACTATTGAAATACCTGAAAATGGTTCCAACATGGCTTCCCCTTGTCAGTGGTGCAGGACAGAGGGGCTGACAAGAACAGTTGTCTAGTCATTCGGATGAGATGAAAAAAACCTAGGTCCAGTGTATACATTGACGTGCACATAAAAGATCCCTTGGCATTTGGAATTCGATTTAGAAAAATTTCCCTCATAGCACACTGTATGGCTTATGCCTGTCTTCATTAGCCCAGTCGGAGCAGAACAGTAGGATGTTAAACCCCATTTCATTTCATTTCTTTTCCAGAAAATGTTTTAAAACCCTAATTTTCTCCCTGCCCTCTGTGTTAATAATTTACACTTTGTAGAATTATATTAACTTTGAGTCATATAAAAGTTACCATAATGTAAAAAAATTATTAGTAGTTTATTTAGCATCTGCTTCTAAATAAATAATATCTTACCAACTTTCATATATTTTTATATACATATTTATATAAATATATTCTCTGCTATGCTATTTATTATCATTATTTTATCTATTTTAAATAAATAAATATTTTTAAGTGGAGGCCACCAGAGTTTTATTTTAGAAAATAATAAAAGTGTTATTTTTCTAACCTAAGGCTTGTCAACACACATTTCATCACCATCAAAATGTGATGATAGGTATACATTTCACTCAACATAATCCTGCAATTATTTCAGCCAGGGAATTAAACAGTATTTTATCTCTTTAAGCGCACCCCTTCGTTGTTTTGCCTGTGGCTGAACATGGGAGCCATTGTAGTTTATATATATATTAGGTCACTGTCTGATCATGGTGCAACCCGATAATATTGAGTTTCGTTCATGCAGAAGTTAGATCCCTGTAATTATCTGAATTATCGTGTTTATAAATAAACGGAATGCGTGTGGTAAACATCTCTCAACGTGCGCTACCCACAACAAAAAAAAAAATCCAAATAGAATGGTATAAGAAGAATTTTCCCACTCACTGGAGATTGTAATGGAATATGATTTTGGATTAAATTTACTTGTGTGTGGTCCGTGGCAACCACTCGTCTAATCTGACAAAATAAACTGTGTATAAATTTTAAAATTCTGAAATCCAAACTCTCTCTCTAGACATTCTAGATTTGATTAGCCTACAATTGCTATAATTAGTTACCTACATTTCACATAATAATACATGTATTTCAATAAATCTATGTAAGTTTGTAGCTTCTGTGATAGAGACTTGTTTGGGTGGTCGAATGATCTAAATGAATAAATTTGAAATTCTGAATTCCAAAATTGCTAGACATTTGTGAGGGTGGTGAGGGGTGCCCGAATGGTTTAACATGTGCAATGCCGTGCATGTTACATCATGAGGTCTGTCATTAGAGTACAGTGACATGGTATTGAGTCCTCATTTATAAGGAGTAGGGTCGTTTGCCCAACCTCGTGGGTTTTCACTGGGTCCTCCGGTTTCCTCCCACTGCTAAAAGACCCCTACATGCAAGCGAATTATTGAAATAAAATTGAACCATATGTTAGTCCCTAAATGACCTAGTTTGTGTCGAGTGGACGTTAAACCCCATTTCTCTCTATATATTTATTTGTTGTTTATTTCTTGCAATGCCTGTGAAGTTTGTGTCTCGTCTGTAAGTTTGTCTTGTCCATTTGGTCAGCATATAGCTCAGTCCTCTTGTACTTACTATTAATTATATTTGTGTTATCTACGTACATTCGTTTGTCGAAGTCATATATTTTTCTCAATTAACAGTTGGTTAATTACTAGTATTGAGATCAATTAGATATTACTGAAAGTGTGGGGGCACTTTAAAATCTACTTGAAGTCATTATAAAAGGGTAATAATGTCAAATATAATTCCTTCCTAACAATTAAGAAACTCTTTAAAGAAAACTAAATATAGTAACAAGTCATTGAAATATAGATCAAATTACATTCAAAAATATGTTATGGAAAAATACTGACTTTATACAAAAATGTCACAAAACCTCTTACAAGAACAGCAAGGACAAATATTAATAAAATGGTTGAGAAATAACAACAAAAGATATAATTATTTTTGGAATAATTTGGTGTTCAGATGTAATTGGTTCAATTAAAGTAAATATAGCTTTTCATCAGTTTCTGAATTTCTCGATGTCATAGTTCTGAAAGGTGTTAATTCTCAAACATTGTCGGATTTAGTTTTTGAGATACGAGAGGAAAACCTTTTCCAATCTTAATAACGCAATTAGGATATCAACATTTTTAAAAGCAATTTTTTTGTGTGGAAGTCACGACCTTACAGTTTTGAAATTTTGCATAGAGAAGCCCCCCAATATGAGTAGTGATCCTATGCAAAAAAGGCTATTTGGGTCATAAGTGGCACTTACAATCTTCCAGAACTATGGCATCATTCTGTATCTCTACCTGAATAGAGTTAATATAGAAATTTAAAGCCTGTTTATAGTCATGGTACATACAATTACACGTTATGGGATATTTACAAATAGCAAATTGGTATCTGGTGTTCCAAACACAGTAAGCATATACTGCCTGATATATGACACCAGTCACTACAGTATATATATATAATCGAAAGCAGAGTCCTCATCATCGACAAGGGCGTTTTTTGTCAATATCGCTCAAAGTATTGCAAAAAGTGACTGACAGAAGAATTGCTCCTGTCAACGATTAGTACTACTAATAGTCAATCTCATTAAAACACAGATCCTATTTCGTTTTATTTTTTATAGTTCAAAATTTCGTTTTTCTTGTCTTAACTACACTAGGATCTGGATCTGGAAGAGTTGTTATATAACAGGCGTTCTAGTTGATGTGAGCAATTAGTCAATGAAACGGTCTGTTACGGCAAGTTCTAGACATGCTCTGCACGTAACTGTGGGTAAACCACTATAAACATCAACGCTGATTGATACTGAATATCTGACGTCACAGTGTCAAAAGCTGCTCATATGGCCCCTGATCTTCATGTAGTGTAGGCCATCGGCCCATCGAAAGTATATCAAATAAAAACGAAAAGAATTATAGATCTGTATTTTAATCAGATTGGTTAATAGTAGGACCATTGAAAGCATGATTAAACAGATCTTTGGCAGTGAATCCACAGTAGTCTTATTGTATGTAATATAGTGATCTTACAATCCAGTGATGTCAAATCAACATTATACTGTATTTTTCAATATTTCCATAATATTGTGAATTTATGCTTTCTTTTTTTCAGGTGAAACTTTTGTAACAAGAAAAATCACACGAGCCGTTGCTAAAATCAAGTTGGGACAACAATCGGTTTTAGAATTAGGTAATATAGATTCTAAACGTGATTGGGGTCATGCCAAGGATTATGTCGAGGTAGGTTAATGTTTCTGTATAAAAAGCAATTCTTTGATTTGAAAATTCTCTTTTCTTTTCCATGGAAACAGTATCGTGCAATATTTTAACTGCTTTTTTACATAGAAACTCATTCTGAAACACACCTTCTGAAATTTGAATGTGAACTTCATTAGCCTTGTTTTGTGCAGAAATTAGGACTTAAAAACCTCATTTCATTTCCAACCTGTAAAGGGGGGTTGGGATGGCCTAGTGGTGTAGAGTGTCAGGCTTGTCACCACTGGGTTGTGGTCATGGTTTCGATCCCAGGTGTGAGCGTATGTTGCGTCTTGTCAACTTTGCGGGTTTACTCCGGGTACTCTGGTTTCCTCCCACAGGAAAGACCACTGTGCGTTCGCTAAATTAATGAAAATGAAAGCATGACAGCTTGTCTGCGATATCACGCCTTTTAGAAGCAGATGTTAAACACCAAGAACAAAAAACCCTTGACCTCTTGCGATAACGATATTATCTGCGATATCACCCTGGGTGGAAGTGGACATTAAACTCCAAGAACAACAGCAAACCTGGGGAACTTTACTCCCTACATCTAGATCAAGCCCCTGACCTCCTGGTTAGTGAGTCAGAACCTTACTCGGTGAGCCACAGCAGCTCCAATAAAAATCTGACATTAAACATGAACAGTAGTTTTATATGATTATTACATATAGTGATAAACTGATTTCAGGCTATGTGGAGGATGTTACAATTAGATGAACCAGAAGATTTTGTTATATCAACAAATGAAGCTCATAGTGTGAGAGAATTCGTAGAAGCATCTTTCAAAATTACTGGTGTTGACATAGTGTAAGTAATAAATTTATTTATCAATAATTCTCAGAATGCATTGAACCTACAAATACTGTACATGAGAGAGAGAGAGGGAGAGAGAGAGAGGGAGAAAGAGAGAGAGAGGGGGAGAGAGAGAGATCATTTCAGCCCCTAACACTTGGTACAATTTGATTTCAGTGATTAGAGAGAGAAATGGGGTTTAACATCCACTCGACACAAACTAGGCCATTTCGGGACTAACATATGGTTTAATTTTATTTCAATAATTCGCTTGCGCGTAGGGGTCTTTAGCAGTGGGAGGAAACCGGAGGACCCGGAGAAAACCCACGAGGTTGGACAGTTCAGTGATTAATTTGTACACATGAGTCTTTAGCAGTGGGAGGTAATCCACAATGTCTGGCAGGTGATCCTACTCCTTGTCACTAATAAGTGTGGGATTGAAATCATGCCACTTGACAATCTGTTTTACAGAGGTATTGCGAAGACTAATAGCTCTGTAAAAGATGACTTCTTTCAGCATGTGCAGCAGGAAAAAAGTTAATATTGGGGGCTCATTAAGCCACATTAATGTCATCCCTATCAGTGATTGTAGCGGACTAGCGAATATTCACTGCTGATTAGTGTGGCCACTTGACTCATTGATAGACCTTATGATCTAAAGTGCACATGTTAGATCAATCGACCTCCCAACCCCTGTTCTGTACATAACAAAACCTAAAGGTTATTCAGTGTTCACAAAGTGAAAGGCAAAGTTGGGTAAATAAGGAAATATCAATACAGAACAATAATATTAAATAGTGAAGTAGTATCAGGTGTTCATCGAAAAGTAAACTAACTCTGTCCCATGCATGGCACCCGCCACGCCTTTTACACCATATAATAATAAGCCATGTGAAGTACCAGAAAATGAAATATGCTGGAAATTTCAGTCAAATTGCTCCACTCTGAACTGAGATATTGGCTTTTGAATTTTAGGCTAGTCTTGTTTAATTATTTTTCAAAAATGTATTCCAATCCACAAAATATCACAGGCTAGCGATGACATCGAGAGTTGATTATGGTCTGGATAAGTTAATTAATGTCTAATTAATAATTTAGATAACATTTCGAGCCTAAAGAAAGACCTGCAATAGGCAGATTTAGCTCTTACGTAAGGTGGTCTATTGTATTAAAGCTCAAAGGAGACATTATATATGGAAATTTACAATGTTTTTACTCTATGACCTTAGATGACCTTTGAAGATCTTCAAATAGTCTCCACCCAAAATAGGAAGGTGTAGATTAATTAGTCTAAGACTAAAAAAAAAAATATAAATATATTTAAAGTAAGATTTACTTACTACGCAGAAATATATTGACAGGAAATGTTACAGGATTCCTAATATATGTTTGTAACACAGAAGTTTTAAAAGGTCAAAATTACTCAGAAGAATAGGTCGTCCAATATCTGAGTTTCGTTGATTTTGATTAAATGGATCTGAGAGAGAAAGAAATGGGGTTTAAATTCCACTCGACACAAACTAGGTCATTTCGGGACTAACAAATGGTTCATTTTTATTTCAATAATTCACTTGTGCGTAGGGGTCTTTAGCAGTGGGAGGAACCAGAAGACCCAGAGAAAATCACAAGGTTGAACAGACAACCCTACACCTTGCCACGTACAACCGGGGAATCGAAACCACGCCAGTTGACTCAATGACAGACCTATGATACAGTGCGCACATGCTAACTATTCGGCCATCCAACCCCCCTAAATGGATCTGTATTAGATATAGTTGTTTAAAAATGTTGTTTTGTTTAGACTCTTTTCGTAAAAAATAGGAATCGCTTTCATTGATGCATTATAGTAATAATAGAGGGGCACAATGATGTCTTGTAAACCTAGTGGGTTTTCTCGGGGTTGTCTGTTTCCTCCCACTGCTAAATACCCCTACGAGCAAGAAATTTATTGAAATAAATTGTACATACTTTAGTCCCGAAATTACCTAATTTGTTTCAAGTGGAGGTTTAACTCTCTCTCTCTCTCTCTCTCTCTCTCTCTCTCTCTCTCTCTCTCTTCAATAAAATTAGTACAGTATTTTATTATGTTAAAATTAAACCATGGCTGACCTAATTCACAATGACTACACTGTCCTACTGGTAAGTGGGTTGATAGTTGATTGAGGAAAAGCTTGTCTGAAGATATAGTATCCAGGGGTATTGGACTCCCGGGTTCAACTCTGGGCATGGGTTGAGAAATACCATGACATCTGGGGTCCACCCATGTACACTGGAGTGCACGTAAAAGAAACCTTGACGCAAGTTGAATTTTATGGAAACTGTTTTAATATTATAGAACGACTCAGGGTCTCCTTTAAGTATCTGGACCCCGAGTTCACAAAGCATTCTCAGACTTAAGTTAATAATTTACTAAAAATTGTTTGCCTTATTTGAACTAAAATATAGCGCCCTTTATAAAACTTTTGTTGTTTTAATGTATCAAATACATCAATAAGAAACTATGTCCAAAGTTTTGTGTATCTGAATCGAAGATATTTCTCATAAACAATGATTGAAAGTTGAGTAAATTCTTAACGCAAATCTGACAATGCTTTGTGAATTTGGGGCCAGATGTAATTGGGCATGTACCGTACAATATAAAAGTATTTATATTTTCATACGATTTCATCATTTCTCATAAAATACAAAAAATATCATAAAAAAATATAAAATTTCACCAGTTCTCATAAAATTGTCATAGAATTAGACAAAAAAAATTCAAAATATAGAATTAACCATAAATCCATATTCCCAATAATAGATTTCTATACTAATAAATCCTGATGTGAATAAGAAAAAATCATACAGTTTGCTGATTTCTTTCATTGTCTATTTGACAGTGTTCAGTCAATGTTATGTGGGTGTATGAACATAGGAGAAGATGACTGCACCAGTGCTACTGGTGGGACGTTCTTATCCGCAATACCACTGGCTGAACACTACTTCTTGGACTGTGTGCAAAAAAATCATAATATTTGATAGTGATAAAAACATAAAAAGTCATGAAATGTGATAAAAACATATTAAGAATTTCATAAAATTTGATAAAAACATGATAAAATAATCATAAAATTTGACTAAAAAAATATCATAAAAATTCAATAGAAGATTTCTGTGGGGTTTCTGAATTGGGGATACAATGAAATTATTATGGTAGAACAAAGATTTTGTCCTAAAATGTGCAGTCGGTTTCAAATTTCACAGAATATACATCTGGTCTAAGCTTAGTAGTAGTCTTGTATAAAGTTAGATGAGTATTGCATGTAGATAAATGTAGGACCATTTATAGACCACGTAGAAAATTAGAGGTTGTACTTGACACTATTAGGTTTAATATATATTCATTACTGATTCTTGTCTGACAAAACAGGAAAAAGAACATAAATGACAATGGTTTAATGACAAATTGACGTACCTTGTAAAATATAATTACTTTCAATTTCATTTAGTTGAGTATTTCAAGGATAAGTTTTATTTTACATTATATATTATAAAAATCTGAGTACACTACATCAAGGAAATCATCAGCATATTTCACAAGTCTTCAAGAAATTCTGACGAGGACATTTTCTTAACAACCTCCCCAATACAATTGTCTCCCGATGGTAACATTTGGTATAACTTGGCCTCTGGGTCTTGCAACAAATGTAGGTTCTTTACAGTACAATAGTCACCAAAAAAAAAAGTTAAGACATTTGATGCAAGATTTTCCATTTTAAAAGTGTAAATATTGAGAGAAACCATATGGATATAAAAAGGCTGTATTTTTATGGTTGTCAACCTTGGGTGGTGGGTCTAGTTATAATGCTATCCTATACCCAGTGTCAAGATAGTGTTTATAAAATGCTTTTTAGAACAACAATTAAGGCATCAGCTATGGGTTATGTTAGTTATGTATGGTTCACACCTGGACTCAAGACAAGTATTAACATATATTTTAAAAAGGGAGAGGGAGGGAAATGGGGTTTAACGTCCACTTGAAACAAACTAGGTCATTTCGGGACTATCATATGCTTCAATTCTATTTCAATAATTCGCTTGCGCAGATAGGGAGGAAACCCGGAGGACAGGCGACCACACTACTTGATTCAATTACAGACCTTGTGATCTAATGAGCACGGCTTAGACTATTCGTGCTCCCCGTCCTTCTTCTAAAAAGGGAAAGGGGGATATAACTCTCATACACAAAAAAAAAAGCAAAAAAAAAAGCATATCACCCAGGTGGTAGTGAACTTAAATAACCTTATTTACACAGAGAGAGAGAGAGACTAACATATGGTTAAATTTTATTTCAATAATTCGCTTGCGCGTAGGGGTCTTTAGCAGTGGGAGGAAACCGGAAGACCTGGAGAAAACCCACGAGGTTGGACAGGCGACACTACTCCTTGTCACATAGGCCTACAACCAGGAAATCAAAACCACGCCAGTTGACTCAACATGCACGTGCTAACCATTTTTTATGTATATATATTTATTTATTTACATTTTTGTATAATCGTTTTGCATGTATTTGCATGATAAAGAAAATTAAAATACAAAAAATGTTGTAGATTGTGAATTTTTGAAAGGATTTAGACCAAATGCTTCACTTTTGAGTTGAAATCTTGTAACATAAAATTTATCTTGACAGCACTGACAAATATTTGACAGTTTGTGTGAAAGTTGGACTGTTTGAGAATGATGATGTTTTATGATATGTTTGTGTGTTGTTATCATCAACAAACACCATGTCTATGGTTTTCACATCATGCTGATGCTTGTAATGCCACTGATGTTTACTGAAAACAGAACGCGATCTTTAAGATCTACCACACTAGACCATGTTAAGTTCAAATGATTTATTGGCATTTAATACAACTCAGGAATTTTTATATGGAATTTTCATATTTTTAGTGGTGCAGATATATTTTTTTTTTTCATGACTTTTCAGAAAATATCCAAAATATTTGTCAACAGTTAGAAGTTATTATAAGCTATTTAAAAGCTTCATTTTTTTATTATTTTTTTTTTTACTGCTCTTCAATCCAATTCCAATTCTAACGGTGCCCAAACACAAACCTTTACCTTTACCGGTACATTTTATGAACATAAAGTTAAAAAGCAATATTGTTTTTAAACATTCATTATGCAAGAGGTAAATCTGCCTTTTGCAGATTTTTGTTTAGGCCTAAAATGTTATATAAGCTATTAGTTAGACATTTATTAACACGAAAAGACTATAATCAACTCTCGATGCCATTGAAAATCTTTTGATATTAAGTAGATTAGAACGGTTCAGAGTTCAGCCACATCTTGATTTAATTTAAAAATGGAGAAGCGAGGCTTAGCTTCGAACAACTAGTATGATGGGTCCAATTAATACATATATCTTGTCAAACTTTCAACGGCTAATATTTTTGCTTGTAATAGAGTAATTTGAATTAAATTTTCAATATATTCATTTTCCATTATCTATTTTTGAATTATTATAGCAATAATGGCTAGCTTTTTATTTTATTCTTACATAATGTATCTTTAATTTATTATAAATCAACAACATCCAGTCTTTGCATAGAGTTAAAACATACTATATTACGATCATCTGCAGACTTTTTGAATCTTAAAAGCCTCCACATTTAAATTTGTAGGCTACAAAAATAACATTTGTTTAGGGTAAGTGGTGATATGGGCATTTTTCAAGAATATTGCAAATGCTGGAGCTTAAACTGTTAGATTTTATAAATTAATATAAATATTCAACCATTAGCATGATAAAATGTCGATTAATGATGACAAATTATTCATTGTCCTGCCAATTTTGTTTTTCAGATGGGAAGGTAAAAATGAGAACGAGATAGGTAAAGACAAAGCTACTGGTGAAGTGCGAGTTAAAGTTAATCCTAAATTTTATCGACCTACTGAAGTGGTAAGTTATTCATTTATTATTAATATTTATCTTTCATTTTAGTCAAGCCAGGAAATAATTTAAACCCATTCTGTCTGTCTCTCTCTCTCTCTCTCTCTCTCTCTTAGGTTCAATTTTTATGTGACTTAGTCTTTCTATAACACAGGTTTAGTCTGTTGTCTTTAGCATTATACAGAGGCAGTTAAGCTGGATTGCTTTGGAAATTATATCTGTTATTTTGAATCGGAATGAATTGCGATGCTAAAATTGAACTAACATAAAGTCATTTATATATCTTTGAGAAACAGACCATCAATTGTATGCACATAAATTTTAGAGTCAAATACAAGAAACTGTTAAAATTGTAAAATAGGTTGAAACAGACGATCAGAGAAATATAATGTATTCACCTGGACTCAACTGACTTGATGATAGATACGTGTGGTGGACATATTACATGCCTTATTGAGCTTCTAAATACTCCACAAATTTCAGACAATATTAGATTTGTGAAAAAACGATTGATGCGTTTTCCACGAACTTGCCTAAGTTTACCTTATGTTAAGTGAGTTTGAGTTGAACTTGAACTGCGGTGAGGCCGACTCGATGATATGAAGTTTATGTTAAAGGGATTTCACTAGATCTGATGAACCATTTAACGAGGTTTACAAAACACAGTGGGATTCGGTGTTGGGTATTATGTTCTCGACGGGGCTTGTTTTATTGTTAAAATTCAATGAATTCTTTTGAAAATTACTGAAACGGCAAAATGTTGGGTTCGTAAATCAATCTTCTGGTCCTGTCATAATCATGATTTACACTACACTAAATGGTTAATGATCGCTTAGTTTTACTGAAAAGCAATAGTTATTCCAAACATCAATATTTCAAGAATGATCGTGAAATTTTTCAAGACGAAAAACATGTCTGCTAGATCACAGTAACTTTTATTTAGTACTTAATGAGTTTTTAATGACAGGGGGTGAACAAGTCTCGTGAATAGAGTAATAGTTTTATACAAGTAGTGGGGTAATAGTATTTGGGATTCAGTCTACCGTTAAATAACAGGTACGAATGTACTATGCACCAGAGACCAATCATGACATCATCGTTGCCATTTTGGAATTGTGATGTCATATCAAAAAATGATGTTTGTCAGTTGATGCACAATTGTCCAAAGAAGAAGCATGCCAAGTTTCATGTTGATTGTATATTTGAATTGGTGGAGCGTAGCCCCCAAGATTAACTATAAAAATGAAATGAAATAGGGTTTAACGTCCTACTTGTTCTGTTCTGACTGGGCCCAAGATTAACTATAAAAATGAAATGGGGTTTAATATCCTACTGTTCTGCTCCGACTGGGTCCAAGATTAATTACCGGTATAAATTAGAAATGAAATGGGGTTTAACGTCCTACTGTTCTGCTCCGACAGGGCCCAAGATTAACTATAAAAATGAAATGAAATGGGGTTTTAGCATCCTACATGTACTGTTCTACTCCGACTGGGGCCAAAATTAACAACAAGAGGAGTAGCTCCTGGTCCAAAAATTTATTTTCAGTCGTTTATACAACTTCCCCTACAAATTCTTATGAACGATTTTGATTATCCAGACATTTGATTAGCTTGATAATACTAACAGGTCCAGAATGCACATTTATTTATAGTGTTATAACTTATTCAAAACATATACAAATACAAATAACATTATTGACATTATATATCTCACTCAGTCTGATTAAAACACAGATCCTATTTCATTTCGTTTTTTATCGTTCAGAATTTTGTTTTACTTGTCTTGACTACACTAGGAACTGGAAGAGTTGTTATTTTATGGCCGTTTTGGTTGAAGTGAGGGATAAGCCAATGAAACAGTCTGTTACGGCGACTTCTTGGCGTGCCATGCACGGAACTATGGGTAAACCACTAGAAATGCCAATGCTGATTGATTAATCAATGTCTGACGTCATAGGGTCAAAAGCCGCTCGTGCGACCCCTAACACGACTTTTGAGTACAACTTGTCAGATTTTCATGTAGTGTAGGCCTCCGAAATTATAAAAAAAACTAAATGAAGTATAGATCTGTATTTTAATCAGATTGATCACTGATAATGATAGAGCAGAACATTTTGATTAACCGGTAATATGTTTTGTAAAATTAACCATTATTATAGGACATATCAAAGTAGTTTGCTGCAAATGCATAGAATAACTCGATCATAACAGATCTAAAACCATGGGGGAGTTGGATGGCCGAATGGTTAGCACATGCGCGCTGTATCATAAGTCCTGTCATTGAGTCAACTGGCGTGGTTTTGAAACCCCCGGTTGTACGTGACAAGGAGTAGTGTCGCCTGTCCAACCTCTTGGGTTTTCTCCGGGTCCTCCAGTTTCTTCCCACTGCTAAAGCGAATTATTGAAATAAAATTAAACCATATGTTATTCCGGAAATGATCTAGTTTGTTTTGAGTGGACATTAAACCCCATGTCTCTCTCTCTTTCCCTTACATGTAGTTTTGATTTTAATACATGTCACTAGAGAACATGGCCAGCAATAAGCCCTAAGGTACACTGTCTGTTAAACAAACCATGGCTCTTTATCTGCACCTAATTTCTCCCCATGTATCTTTTGCACTTTTGATTTACAAAACATATTTTCCTTGATTGAATGTAATTGGTCCCAAGCTTCACGTTAAATTTGGAATAATGACTTAAGTATTTTCCAACATTGAAACCTTTACATGCCATTTTTGTTAGCAAATGACGTTAACTCCAGATGTGCTGTAGTCTCTGGGTAAAAGATTGTCAGTTAAGATGGCTGTTTAATCAAAGCAATGCTTTATCAATTATCCCAAATTATTATCCAAACAAAAACTGTCTTTGAAACATTGTTGATGTGTTTGCATAGAGCCTTTTAGTTCTTCCATCACTTGTGAACTAAATGGTCTTTTGAAGGTTGAATTAAAACCTCGAAAAATCCTACACCTGCAAATGGACGTTTTAGTAGCGTCTGCTGTGATTTTCTTTTTAATGTGTAGATAACTGTTTGATGATAAGATTATCAAAGATAAAAAAATATGTTTGAGGAATTTATAAGTGGACGATATTACGAGGGAATGATCTACTGATTATCCGATATCAATATTTTGATATTAATAGGACACTTGATTTAGCCATTGTTGCTCTCTTCATCAATATCAACCCAAACCTTTTGAACAATATCATATTAGTCATACACATATTTGTTGAATCAGCAATTGATGGCCATTTGGAAAGGTTCGCAGACTTTTTGCTAAGTTTCCTAATTAGAAGAATTCTTTCTTCAGTCTGGCATCATCTGCAATAACGATGGAGAAAGAGTGGAAGAGATCGCAACTGATGATCATCAGCAGAATTGTTTATATCTTCCGTGAAACTAATTTTTCTTTGAAAGCTACACAATTTGGTTCTCTTTGATTGTAAAATAATTCCAGTTGTTGGATGAAAGATGTTTGTAAAATCATGCCACCTGTGTCTAGCCAACTATCTTGTCATATTTTGTATATCAGATATAGGATCTGTAGTTAGTTGAGGTGCGTATGTTTGTAAGTATTTAGGTACTTACTACATATTGTGCTCTTTATTTTCACCTTAAAGTCATCTTTCTAGTCGATATTACCTACATATGTTGATCTTGATGATGTACACTTGTTTCACAGACTACTTTAAAGAGCCATCTATCATTTTTTTCTTACCAAGATAAAAATGGGTATCATTGAATACATGCATATTCTTTATTCTTATATCTCACTCAAATAGACAATGACATCACTTCATAGTCATTCATATTGACAATCCTATGCTTAATACATTCATATACTAGTTTGTGTTGAATGGAGGTTAAACCCTCCCTCCCTCTCTCTCTCTCTCTCTCTTGAAATATTGAAATTATTTTGATAAGATTATTTTTGGAGTGCATAATTTATATCCTAGTTTATATCTGCAGTGTATGGAATGAATGAACTCTATAGTGATGTAAAACAGAATCTCCTGTTTCAGATTTTACAAGACGTTTCACTGTTCAATATGGTGAAAACATAATTTTACGAACATATTTTAATGAATATAAAAAAAATGCTATTTTGTTATTTCTGCTGTTTTCGTTATTTTTGAGTCAAAGAGGGTAAAAGGTTACGTACAGATTTCCACAAGAAAAAGCAGCATATGGATTCCAAATAGGAATGAAATTGTTGTTAATCTGCTTTTGAAATTCTTTTAGGCATAAACATGTGTAAAACGCAATCTTAGTGTGTTTACGTATTTATATAGGAGCGTATTATCTTGTAGAGACAAGTTGTGTTTTGTGTATTGTATAAACACGATAAATCCAGGGGGTTGCTCGTCCCACACCTCATTAACATCTACAGCTCAGGCTTGAAGTCATCTCCGTCCAATCAAATCTCTCCTTACTGTGAAATATGGGCAAATAATGACTCGTCTTTCAAAGAAATATGGCATTATAATAACTAATTTTCAGACACATATATTTCTCATAAATGTAATCAGCATACTTTTTGGAAGATTTCGCTTCTTTTTTTATTTCTTGAGTGATGTATATCATGGAAATATAAGCAGGCAGATTTTTTAAAGCCTTTTACTGCTGGTAAAAATGTTTCATGTAACAAATATATTAAGATTTATGTATGATAAAATTCTGCTGGAATAACTTCTAGTCAAAATACTAAAGTCTCTCTGTTTCAAACTCAAAAGATGAAAGGACATGTCTGAATGATCTTCTTGTATCAAGTTTTCAAAACTTTCCAGAAAAAAAGAGTTTGAATTACTGGAACACATAATAAGGAAATATAATAGATTTTGTTATTTTGGATGAATGAAACTGTCTTGAATTTTTGTAGTGGAAATAATTATTTAGAAACATACAATTTTTGAAGGAAATGTAACTCTTTTAGGCATGTAACAGTTTTTCAAAACTTTCCCGGGACACACATAGTAAGGAAATAGAGAGAGAGATATGGGGTTTAA